CCGATTTGTGTCAAGATAATCGCTTTGCGAATATATATTTAGTGTTCTTTTTTAATCTTTTTTAATTTTTCAAGAGGGGTACGGCCTTGAGATGTCCTCATTCTGAATTGACCGGGGGTCAAGTCCCACGGTAGCAGCGTTGAGCTACCTCAACATCTGAATCTGGACGTGTTTGTGGAGACGTGCAGTTCAGGAAACTCAACACCATTTCTGCACATCTCCGCAAAAGCGTCCAGATTCAGGCGTTGAGGTAGCTCAACGCTTCTAGCGGGACTTGCCCCCGTGCCCAGGTAATTCAGTTCAGAATGATTTTGTTCTGGTGGCACCTCTCATTTGCATCAGGGAGTCCAGCTCGGGGGCAAGGTCCCATTTACACGAATTAATCGATATTGACCGTAGATAGCAAAGATCAACGGCCAGAATCTCTTAATCCGTGCAAGTGGGACCTTGCCCCGGGTCTGTATTTAATCAGTTCGAGGGTGTACCAACTGAGCTAGTAGCCCACTTGGTCGAAGTTCTGCAATTTGCATTTAGTCAGTTTTGTCTGCATTACGGTGGAGGCCTGGGGCCAGGTCCCACTAGCAGCGTTCGTGGAGATGTGCGGGGTTGAGAAAACTCTACGTGATTTCTACACATATCCACAAACAAGTCCAGGTTCAGGCATTGAGGAAACCAAACGCTGCTAGTGGGACTTGGCCCCAGGAGCCAGGACAGACTACTACAAAAAAATAGTACGTCCGATTATGCTTGTGCTCTGTGGTTTTCGATCAGGTGCAGCCGTCCGTGACAAAGGTGAGTCGTTGATCGTTTTGCGTATCGACTGCTACCCTCTTCCCCCGAACAGGACGGAAACATACGTTGTATACGTTCATTTTCAGGGTGCGTTATGTTCAGGGGGAAAGACGGTAGTGTCGATTCACTTTGTTTTCGTGGAGGCAGCCGCCCCTTCATTTGTTGGCCATTTAGTTGCGTTGGCGCGAAGGGGGTAGGGGGGGGGGGTGCTTGACGCTTCGCGCCTTGCTTTTTTTTTGCAGAAATTGAGAATATCGCGATTTCCATGGAACACTCTGCGAACAGGCCGGCGGGAAGGTCGCATGCAGATGTACCCGGGGCCGGGTCCCACTAGCAGCGTTGAGTTTCATCAACGCCTGAATCTGGACGTGCCTGAGTTTTCTTAACCGCACATCTCCACGAACGCGTCCAGATTCAGGCGTCGAGGAAACTCAACGCTGCTAGTGGGACCTGGCCCCGGGTTGGTGAGTGGAAGTGTGGACGCACAGCCTGTACTGTTATAATGATGTCGATGTCAGTGTCAGGCCCCGTTTTTTTTTGTTTTTTTTTTTGGTCCTTTTCTTTGCAGTGGTGTAAATAAAAAGTAGCATTKTTGGTAMAAAAAAAAAAAAAAAAAAAAAAARMAWTGTTTATGCGTTTTTGAATGAGAAAAGAACGCCACACACCGTTTTAAACGATGCTAGTCGGTCCGGGAGCAATGAGAAAAGACGACCACAAGAATGATCAATTTCTAGATTATTATTATTATTATTATTATTATTTTTATTTTATTTTATTTTATTTTGTTTGTTGGGGAATTTCTGGAAATGTCCTTCGGGACATCCGTTAAAATTGGAACGATACAGAGAGAAAAAATCAATTAGCATTGCCCCTGCGCACTCAAGTATGACACGCATAAATCGAGAAATTTCTGGAAATCATCCTCGACGTGATGAAGCAAAAGCAAAAACCTGACCAACGGGTGTATAGCTCAGTTGGTACACCCAAAATGAACTGAACTGATGAATGAAGTACAGACCCCCAAGTTTGAATCCAGCTGCGATCAAGTCAGATGAACAATAGAAAATCATTCTGAATTACCAAATTGGGGGGCGGTCAGCCCAATGACGATATCTCAACAAGCAAAAACCTGGCATAATAAGCAGCTGAAAAAAAAAAAAAAAAAAAAAGAAATCAGCAGCAGAAATGAATCATTCCTGGAAATTCGGAAATTCTGAAATTCTTCAAATTCATGAATTTCTAGAAATCATGAATTTCCACGAGTTATGAATTTCCACGAATTATGAATTTCCAGGAATTGTGAATTTCTGCTGCTTTTTTTTTTCAAACTACCTCGCTAGTCTGTGTTAATGGGGTGCTGTCTCCAACGCTTCAGATGCGTAGGTCAGTTAGAGAAGGGATGTCCGGGGGCTAGGTCCCACTTGCACGAAATAAGAGATACTGACCGTAGATAGCAAAGATCAACGGCCAGAATCTCCTAATTTGCGCAAGTGGGACCTTACCCCGATTGCACCGTATCTTTACTTCACCTCCTGTATGTTGTGAAATATGCGCACTTGAGTTTGTACTTCATCAGTTCATTTTGGGTGTACCAACTGAGCTATACACCCTCACTAACTCTCTTCCCTGGGACAAACCGCACCCTCATTATGACTGCATCAGACCTGAAAGATAGCTTGTATGCATTCATGATCAGCGTGCATTGTGTTCGTGGGAATACAGTAGCTGATCGTGTGCTGGGCGGCAGTGGGGTTATGCGCACTTGTGGCATGCAGCAATTATGCGCCAGTGTGAGGTTGATATGTATGCGAGTGTGGCATTTCACACACACACAGAGAGAGCAATTATGCGCCAGTGTGAGATTGATATGTGTGCGAGTGTGGCATTTCACACACACACACACACACACACACACACACACACACACACACACACACAGAGTGTGAGATTGATATGTGTGCGAGTGTGTGCGCTCTTGTTTGTGTGTAGATGAGTGCATTCATCTATTTGAGGCAAGTGTCATGCGTATGATTAGCAAAGCCAATCCATCATCAATAAGCGGCAATTCACATGGATTTGAGGCAAGTGACATCCATTTGATAAGTTATCCCCCTTTAGAAGCACAATACACGCTGACCGGATTGGAACCAATCTGCCAGCGAGGCAAACAGAACTTTCGCCGAGCGCCAGTTGGGCCCAAATTCATACAGGAAAGTGGCGCTCTCTGAAAGTTCTGTTTGCCTCGCTGGCAGATTGGTTCCAATCCGGTCAGCGTGTATTGTGCTTCAAAGCGGTCTAGTCCCTGGATGCATGTGACCGAAATTACGCCCAGAAGTAAGTATAAAAATGCTACTGAACCGATTACCGGGGCCCGGTCAGTTCAATGAAAATATCTCACGTCAGGCAGTCACAAAAAATAGATAAATAAATAAAGCGCAGTCACAAACAAACAAACAAACAAACAAATAAATAAAGGGATAATTTGCGAAATACCCCTGTAAGTTGAGACATATGCCAAAATGCCCCTAAAAGATGTGGGTAGAGCAGAATACCTCTCTGACACAAACATGTTTTGTGAAATGCCCCTGGCGCCGGTTGGACCTGTCATCTTCGCAAAATACCCCTACCGGGTACTGTCCATCTTTGCAAAACGTCCCAGTACTCGCCAACTTTTCCCAGGCCCTACGCATTTTCGTTCGACCCCTACTGGCCCAGGTCATCTTTGCTTTTTCCCCCTCGCAGAGAGAGGACGAGTACCGGGCCGGGATAGCGGGACAGCAGGGGGGGGAAAGAGCGAGAGAGAGAGAGAGAGAGGGGTGGGAGAGAGAGAGCGGAGAGAGAGAGAGAGCACAGAGAGAGGAGAGAGAGAGAGAGAGAGAGGGGAGAGAGAGGGGGAGAGAGAGAGAGAGAGAGAGAGAGAGAGAGAGAGAGAGAGAGAGAGAGAGAGAGAGAGAGAGAGAGAGAGAGTTCTCAAAGTGGCGAGCAGGAGGATTTCAGAGATGGTGACCTGGCATAGGAGGAGCTGGAGATGGGGAGGGGAGGGGGGGCTAAGGGTGGGGGGTAGGAGGATGAATGAAGCTGCCGAACATGAATGAAGCTTTTTACCCCTGAAGGCAACCCCCCCGGCCGACGGGCCTGGGTATATTGGGCAAAGTTGGCCAAAACGAGCCTCCCCCCCTGTTCGGGTTTTTCATCAGTGTGCACGGCATTTCTGGGGCCAGGCAAAAGTGCCTCGGAAGTAGTGGGGAAAAAAAAAACAAAAAAAAAAACAGTGCCCCGGAAGTAGTGGGGAAAAAAAACTAAAAAAAAAACTAAGTTCTTTTTTGCTTCTGAGAGACACAAAAAAAACGTTTTTTTTTCCAGCCAGCTACAAATTTAAAAACTGAGTTCTTTTTTTGAAGTGCCTGGGAAAAAAAAACTAAAAAAGAAACTGAGTTCTTTTTTGTTTCCGAGAGACACAAATTTAAAAACTAAGTTCTTTTTTTGTTGCCGAGAAAGGGGGATGGGGAGAGGGGAGGGTGGGAGAGAGCGAAAGTCAGCTCTTTTCCTTCAGATCAAACAGTTCTTGACCTTTTCCTCCACCCTTAGGGCGCACCCACAGCCATATTTCTTGGACTGAACATGGCTATAATCGAGACCAGATGCATTCCGAAAAGTCACAAGTCTGAGTACTCTGCCCGCCCTTACATTTCTTAAAGAAGGCCATCCTCCTCCCCCCCCCCCCCCCACACACACACAAGAAAAGAAAGGAAGGCCATTCACCTTTTCTTTCTGTGGTCCACTTTCCTCAAGGAACAACTTTCCCCGAAGAACAAAATCACGTCATCAAACTAACTTCAAAACACACACACACACACAGAGAGAGAGAGAGAGAGAGAGAGAGAGAGAGAGAGAGAGAGAGAGAGAGAGAGAGAGAGAGAGAACGGAAAAGACAGAAGACAAATTCATGTTTTTTTTTCCCTTCAAATTTAGCTTTCAGGTAATACACAACTTATATCCCACATACGGACCTACAGAATAAAATGATTCTGAATTCTCTAAGGCTGGTCAGTTCAATGATGATATATCTCAAGGCCGTCGCCCTTAAAAAAAAAAAAAAAAAAAAAAAAAAATCCCGACAAGATCCAGACCTCCAACAAATGATACAACGCCACGTGTCAAAGTGATACCGTTCTGGTTGGGGAACACAACAATGTTTTTTGTCAAGGGACGTCGGGCCTCTTTCCCGGCTTGCAAAAAAAAAAAAAAAAAAAAAGTTAGGAAATCGAGGCATCATGTCAGAGACACACTCCTGTGTATGGCCCAGAAATTCGACCATAGACCAGGACTTTCCATATTGCATCTAAGCGCGATTAAGGCCACATTCAGCCTAGAAGGAAGAGTAGTGTGAATACACCCTTCGTCTCAGAATACCCGTTTCAACCAATTAATTAACTAATTAATTAACTAACTAATTAATTAATTAATTAGTAATTACGGTAACCACCATCCACACACGCTTCTTTTTTAACCACTAATTACGAATCAATCCCAATCCTTGTCAGTTTTTTTTTTTTTTTTTTTTTTTTTTTGCAATTCCTCGTCAGTATTCTAATTACGCTCTAAAACCGATAAACCATTTCGATAGAATTAAGGGGGGAAAAAAAACGTAATTGAATTCCTCTACCTAAAAAGAAAGGAGAAGTATTTCAAATCCTTTTTAAGGAAAAAAAAAAAAAAAAAAAAAACAACGAATGTACCTAGTCGTCCTACTCCAATTATCAATATTAATTAAGAATTGAATTACAACTATTATTCTGCAAGTCTACGTCTAATCATCATAAAATCCGAGTTTCTCTCCTTCTCCCACCATATTCTAATTCTTCATTTTTTAGTCAAAAAAAAAAAAAATTCCCTTTTAAAAAAAAAAAAAAAAAAAAAAAAAACCCAAGAATCTAAACTTTCTCACAAAAGAACCATCCACCCCCACCCCGCCACCCCCAAAAGAAATTTCCTTGCTACCTTCTTTTTTTTCTTTTTTATCAAATACCTTCTTTTCCTTCATGCCGTTATTTTTTTCTTCTTCTTCTTCTTCTTTTTTTCCCTTTTTCTTTTTCCATCACTTCTTTTTTTCTTTTTTTTTCCCCCCTCCCCTCCTCTCTAAACCGGTATCTCCGCGGCCGCCATGGCGTCTCGCGCAGCTCTTGCTACGTCTTCAAGATGTCGTCTTGCTTCGGGATCGAACACTTTGGACAAAATTTCATACGAGTATGTTTCTGGCTCAGCGTAGGGATCCACTTGGCTGGGCGAAATAGGGTCCGTTGAATAGCCCATTTTTTGGGTGTAAAATTCCCAAGCGAAGGTGTTTTTTTTCTGCACCGTCAGCATCACCCCCCTCATGTTATTTTTCCTCGCCATCTGCTCCATGATTTCCATCAAGAACTGACCCACCCCTTTACGCCTAATTTCGGGGACCAGCTGCAGCTCGTACACATACAACACCTCCACATCCTCCTCCATGACGAAGCGGAAATGAACAAAGGCGACGACTCCCTCCACATCGGGCTGCTTAGAGGAGGAGGAGGAGGCAAGCCGTTTTTTCTCGTCTTCTGCTGACGTGGCAGGCCAGGAATGCTCGGACATGGCCGCCTTTGTCGGCGAGGGGGGGGGATCAAACAACACCCTCCCTTCTCCTTCTCCTTCTCCTTCTCCTTCCTCTGCTGCTGCTCCTACTTCTGCTTCTTTTTTCTCCTCTGTCTGCTTCTCTTCTGTCATCGTCTTCGTAAAGTCCGAGGAGGGGGGCATATCTCCTCCTCCTCCTCCTCCTCCTCCTTCATCACCACCCACCTTCTTGGTCTCAGCCTCTCCCCCAAGATCCGTCTGCTTCTTGCTTGACACGTGGCAGCTTTCCATCGCAGTGGAGGGCGGCTCGTCCTTCTTGGCGATGGCCGCCGCCTCGGGAATGCCGACGACAGGAGAAGGCGAAGAGGAAGCCGAACTGCTGGATACGTTGCAATCGTTGCTGCTGCCACGTCGATGGCGCAAGAAGATGTACCTCGCGTTCTTGTCCACCATCTCCTTCCTCTTCTTCCTTGCCTCTGTCACCCATTCCTGGCCGTAAGCGTACATCATGTTCTCTTTCAGAAGACGCGTGATGAAGTCCTTCAGCGATGGCGTTAATTGGTCCCCAGTGAGGAATTCTACTTCAAGATCAAGACCGTTCTGCTCAAACTTGAAAGGCGCGGGAAAATCGACAAGTAGATCTCTCTTGCTGTTGGCGATGGCGACTACCTCCTCCGCGGCCCAGTGCCGCTCCATCGCCTCCTTCTTCAAAACTTTGATCTCCATCTTCGTCAATCCCTCCCTGCGCAGCTCAGGCCAATAACTGTCAGTACCAGCAGCTCCTCCCATGATCCCAGAGGGAGCAGGAGTCGACACATCTTGGTGGCCGCTGGAATCACTCGACCGAGGCGGATGATGCTGACACTTGGCGCTCTTGCGAGTCATCTCGCTTCCCGCCAAAACCTCCTTCTGCTCTCTTCGCCTCTCCGATGAAAATAATGTGTCTGCGAAGGGCTCTCTGGCGGTCGTTCCCGCCAAATCCTCCCTCCCGCTTTCGTAACCGGCCAAGAACTCCGGCGCTTTCAACAACCGCCAAATCTCTGAATGTACCCGCCAAATCTGCCAGTGCGCGCCAAAACTGTACCCGCCAAATCTCTGAATGTACCCGCCAAATCTGCCAGTGCGCGCCAAAACTTTACCCGCTAAATCTCCACGCGCCAAATCTTCGTCTAACCCTATGAACTGCTCCGTCCCTATTACAACTGATACACTTGCCCTCCCCTCGTCCTCTCCTTACTCTCCTTCCTCTACTTCCTCCCTTCTTCTTCTTCTTCTTCTTCTTCTTCTTCTACTTCTTCCTTTCCTTCCCCTCAATTCTTCACTTCTTCTTCTTCTTCTTCTTCTTCTTCTTCTTCTTCTTCTACTTCTTCCTTTCCTTCCCCTCAATTCTACCTCTTCTTCTTCTTCTTCTTCTTCTTCTTCTTCGTCTTCTTCTTCCTCTCTTCTTCTTCTTCTTCTCTTTCTTCTTCTTCTATTACTAGTACCACCACTCCTTCGCCTTCGTGTTCTTCGTATTTACGCTATTTACGCTATCTGGGATGAGAAAGATCGAGTCGGCGATGGCGACGAAGATGTGAGTCATCAGCGGAAGAAAGAGGACGGAAGTTTCGTGGGTCGTTTGTCGGGCAGGCGAAGACAACAGGCGCTGCAGAAGGGGAGGAAAAGGAATGTGACAAGACGAGGAAGATAGCGATCACCTTCACGGAACGCAAGAGAGAGAGAGAGAGAGAGAGAGAGAGAGAGAGAGAGAGAGAGAGAGAGAGAGAGAGAGAGAGAGAGAGGCCTCTCCTTTCGTTCTTTTCCTCCTCCTCCTCCTCCTCCTCCTCCTCCGCCTCCGCCTCTTCGTCCTCAACAGCGATTCGATGATGATGATGCTAAAATCGGGACGGCAACGAAAAGGCCAGCTGGAGGCCGACGACAAAAGCAGGGCAGAGAGAGAGAGAGAGAGAGAGAGAGAGAGAGAGAGAGAGAGAGAGAGAGTGGTTTAGGAGCTAACAAAACGCGGTGATCTGCGTGGATAACGCTGGCCAATTCTGAGGTGCTACTTCGCAAAACCGACTGAGGGCTGATTCAAAGTACAAACAGGACCCAAAGAAAAAGAAAAAGAAAAATAGAGGAGGAAAATGGGCAAAATCAATCCAAGAAGCACATTGTTTATATGCTCGTATAAGTTAACGTATATTTAACTGAATTTCATGCGGAAAAAAAAAAAAGAGTATAGTTATACATATGTATCGTTCCCAAAAAAAAAATACATATGTATCGTATAGGTGTAGGAAATTCAGCTTCGAAAAAGAGTGGGGACATGATTCCACTAGGTAGTCTGTAGCCGGCAAGAAACATTTCTGACCGTTGATCTTCAAATCCTACGGTTAAAAAATGTTTAATGTCTGCGGATGGAACTGGAGCTCTGTTCATGTTTGAAAAGCATGAACATGGACGAAAAATAGCGGCCATGTTCGTGCCTTCCTATCATGAATAAAGCACCCGTGGGGCCTGGCCCTACGCAATTTTTTCCATCTTTAATTCCTTCAGGCCTCGCTCCGCTGCTCTCAAAATGGGCCAAATTGCAGACAGACCGGGGTCCTTGACCCACTAGCGGGGGTTTAGTTAATTATTTTTCAACGTGGTCACATCGTGGCCGTAAAAATTTTCAGATCGGATGGCAAGGAGCCATGTACACTCGAAACCAGAACAAACCCTCGAGAAGTGGGACATGGCCCCCGTTTGGAGAAGTATACAACACCCTGGGTTTTTTTCTTTGTAAAAAGGGAAAAAAAAAAAAAAAAAGAAGAAAGAAAGAAAAAAGAAGCATAGGCCCTCGCCACACTATTCCCTACCTGGAGAATAATTTAGGGAGTACTCCGAAGATGCGGGAGTGGGCTTCCCTACATTGCACTCCCTACTTGGGGCGCTCTCCGATTTCAAGGCCAGGAGGCACACTTCAGACAGAGACTGTCCACCACTGTCACTGTCCGCATCTGGCCACGAAAACTATGAGAAGAATGCTTGTCTGCGCACGGGTTCTCTGGGTTGAAACACAGGCCTCCGCGAGAGCTCTCCCGAAAATGGCCTTTTACAGGCAGGAGGCTCAAGCGATTTCGGGAGTGCTCTCTGGAACCACATTCTCACAGCTCCCGAATTCAATCTGACAGGTTGAAATCGGGAGCTGGTGTAACACAGGCCTCTGCGAGAGTTCTCCCGAAAATGGCCTTTTACGGGCAAGAGGCTCAAGCGATTTCGGGAGTGCTCTCTGGAAGCACATTCTCTGACAGCTCCCCAATTCAATCTGACAGGTTGAACTCAGGAGCTGGTGTGGCGACGTTGCACTCCCGAAAATGGCTAAGGGCCTCGTTTGACACCACTTGGAAATTGCTGTTTTTCAAGGAAGCGTCGTTCGACCCCGCCCTAATCATGCACCCTTGAAGTCGCTAATTGTTTCCACATCCCCGCGGCCAAGTGTCCGCCCTTGAATCAGAAGTGCGGCCCAGGCAAATCAACGAAAATCCCAAGGGTGCTTCTGGAGGTCATTTGGGGCGCAAGGGTTTCACCCTTCAAAACGAGGAATATACGGACCTTTTTCTTTTTTTCTTTTTTACTCCACCAATCACCACTGTTCCTGATGCAATGCCGTCAGCACTTTAATTTCAAGGACAGCCGTCTCAAGGGTTTCCTCAAGGGGTTGTGGAACGAAAAAACAAGTTAGGGGAAATTAATCACCTTCTGTGAGTTAGGGTGCCTTTGAAACTCAAGTATTTTCAAGTGGTGTCGAACGAGGCCCTAAGTCGGGAGTAGTGTGGCAAGGCCCATAGTAGCAAATATACCCGTCCGCCCATGTATTGTCGCAAATAAACCGGTTATATAGTGGAAATATCATTTTTTGAAAAGCTCGTACGCTATTTACGAGTGGTTTCCGGGTTTCCCCAATTCTGAAAATCAAGTAGGGCGGGTTCACTTGGTAGACCAAACACAAGTGTTGATCGAAGTCTTCACCATCCAGAAGGAGGATCAACTACGAGGGAGTAGCCAACCTTTTATCTGGAAGGAAAAAAAGGAAGTATACCGTGTCAGAGTTATTCTCGAATGTAAAGGATGGAGAGTCTATCGATCCAGGACCCCGATTGAGGATCTACCCTTCGATCCCGAGGAGTGGCACTGGTCCTGGAATGATCCAAGAAACTCTGGAAATTCAGGGAGGGGAGGAAGGGCACGGGAAATAACACTTGCTGACTTAAAATCTAAGTCAGTATACCGAATGCTCAGACCTAAACGTAGGCTGCCAGATATTGTAGAGGATAGATGGTATCGTCATCTCAACGTGGATCGCGGCTTGCTAAAACCCATAAGGTGTTTTGCGGACTATGGAAAGAGGCCGGCAAAGATCTCCGCCCTACAATGGCAGATCGCACACCGGTGCTTACCAACTAACGATTGGCTAATAGATCACTCCCATCTGGAATAGTAGGGGCGAGCACTGCCGTGGTGTCAAAGATGCCTCCAAGGCTACCCCAGTAAAAAATGCGCCGAGACGATAGAGCACATCTTCCTCCAGTGTCCCACGGCTGTCCTACTGTGGAGGTGGTGGGACAGAATTTGGCGACACATGATACCGGGCTCGACTTGGCCATGGGAATGGAGGGCTATACTTCTGGGACACTTCCCCGAGATCCAAGGGAATACATTCACAGAAAATATGTTCTGCCTGGGAAGGCGGGCTGTCCTATGGGTAATATGGTGGAGAAGATGTATCCTGGAAATAGAGGGAGCAGAGGTAGAAGAGGGGGAAACCACGGAGCAACTAAGACTTTTGGTTCAACACGAGATTGCGGCCCAGTGGGGGACGGTCAAGGAAAATCTAAGGCAGTTGCACACCAACAAGGACATTGACAAAGTTATCTCATAGTTCTGCGAGAATTGGTTGGGCGGGAGGAGGGAAGGTTGGGTAGCAAGGGTAACTTGGGCAGAGGGTGGACATGCACAGAGGGGACAGCAGGCAGGGGTTACAAGGGATTATCAGCTTCACTTTCGCGAATGGACAAAGATTGATCCCACCATCTCGCTGCGGACTGCTCAGGACTTCGCAGACCCTTTTCCCCCTCACCCTCTGGTTCTGGTGGTACCGTTCCCATCCTTTTTTTTTTTTTTTTTTTTTTTTTTTGGGACAAAAAACTCCAATCTATTCGTGGGGAGCAACACGTGCTGGGAACCGGGCCCAACGTCCCATATAGATCTGAGATACCAGGGCCATTACCTGGCTTCGGCTAAGAACAGTTTGAGAACTTATTTTTTTCAGAAAAAAATTGGAGCTACTAAGAAAATAACCACGACAATCTTCAGAATATGAGACAGAATTCAGAACTACTCAGAACCCCCCCCCATCCATCCACTTTACCTCACTCCGGCAAGACTTACTGCAGCAGAGTCACCATCTCCGCTGCTGCTATACCCTATTCCCATCCTACCAGCTAGCCCCCTTACTAGTAGGACGCATGATACCCCACCATCTCCTTCCCCACTAACCTCGTTCTTTTTGGCTCACCCGGGTTCCAGCACTTTGGCGTCATTTCCATTCTGAAAAGCTTTTTAAGGGACGCTGGACCCGTTTTCCAGCAGAAGAGAGGTATCCCATTTTATGACATTGAGCTGGTCTCTCAACACATGTTTCTCAGAATACAATAGAATACAATAGACGCCACGAGGGAAGTAGAGGGTAGGCTGAGACCGGGTGAAGGAGGGAAACTCCACTGGTGCCCCCCAGTGGCCTTCCACCCTTTACCTGACCTGGCCACAGGCTAAGAAGGGGGTTATAGTTTTTATATGGGACGCTGGACCCGTTTTCCAGCACAGTGGTGTCTTTTTTAAATGAAAAGATAGTAAAGATGTATTCAAGGGACACTGGACCCGGTTTCCGGCAGGTGATGCTCCCCACCAATAGACGGAGCTGTTTTTTTGTTTTTTTAATTACGAGTGGTTTCCATGTTTGGGTTTTGCAAGAGAGGGGTGCTTGGAGTGCTTGGTCCTCTGCTGGTAAATCTGCATAGAACCTTTGGAAAAAAAACAGTATTTCTGTATCTTTCGCATATATTTGCCATGGTACATGGGCGGACCGGGTGCTATGATACTTCCCCAAACAGGTATGTCTGCAATTCACCCCTCCAAATGTGCAAAATGAGAATGAATCTTTTGCTAGAACATGGAAAGATACACCACCATCACACCCGTGTTGGTCATAGACCCCGCTAATACCGATCAGGTTGTGTGTGGTGTGTGGAAGAGTGTTGGCCATAGCCTCTGCTGCTACTCGATGAAGGGTGGGGGACGATGAAAAAGGGAGGCACAGCTACTGGCAGGTCTCGGTCTTTGTGTTAGCCAGACCCCCACTGGCGGCCCCAACCCTATACCC